AATTACAGTATTCCTCAAGTGTTATCAGCCCCTCCAATGAAAGATAGTGAGAGAGAATCTTTGAAATTTTATTGGGATAAACAGAGAAATTTTGCTTTACATTGTTGTGCAACATCTACTGCTGTATCACATCCGCAGAGATGTAGTGGGAAAGAGTTACTAAACACAGAACAATGCTCTTCAAGTAATTGCTTCCATGTAGATGGGAATGNTTTGAAGATCAAAACATATCAGATAAAGGTTTAAGACAATATGAAATTTGTGAGAAGAGGAGGCGGCTAACCAGGCAAGAGTCATTTGCGTCTTTTGCTTCATTGTCCCAAGGACGAAATAAAACATTTTCACGGTCAGAAAAGCACATTAGGAATGTCCTGGATATTCTAAATAATGAAGCATCTTCATGCAAAAGCAAACGTATATCCAAAAATCTTGAGAGAGCTGTCTTTCACTTAAAAAAGGCTCATAGATTAGTTCACACCTCTTTGCAGCTTATAGCTAAAGTGGGAGAAAAAAGAAAGGGCACATTACCAAGATCACATGCAAAAATATGCAATAATTTCTGGGAAAGTCGTGACCTTCAAGGTTACAGTTCTGCGTCTGAAAGAAAATTTTCCACTAGGCACGTTTTGTCTAAAAGAAAACATGACAATCAGGAAGAGAAAAGAGCTTTAAGATGTGATTTTCGTAAGTCATTAACCCCTGTAGCAAAGCACAAATCTTATAAAACAAATGGAGAGAGAATCACAATGTGCCTTTCCAAGAAGAGTGTAGCCAGCAGTGTGTCCAGAAGTTACACCACTATTCACGTGAGAGAATTCTGTGATCAAGAACAGTGTCCTGAATCACAGTTGCCCTTATCCTCTGCATCCCAAAGTACAAGTCAGTCATCTTATAATAACAGAATGGAAAATCCAAGATCATCAGAACTTCAGCCCTTTTCCAGAAAAACTGGTTTTCTGTTTTCCTCAGACCACCCAGATGAGAAACTAACTGTAAAAGAAAACCAAATTGATATGAAGGTTTCATCTAACATTAGTAAATATGAAAAGCTTGAGAACCATTTGGCGTATAATAATGTTAAGGATGCTACAAAAGAAAACAATTCCAAGGCTCATGAACTAATAAATCAAAGTAATCCAGTATCTTTAAGTTGTGTAAAAGAAAAGAATGTAAGTTACAGCACAGACAGAAACTGGGATGCAACTTGTCCGGCTCACCCATAGGTGAAAACTGGCATATCTATTTCAGTCTTAGAATCAAATGTGAAGCACTTTTTAAATGTTGGTGTCTATGAACGAGATAACCTTATTTCATCTGGTTATAAAAGAAAACTGGAAGTAAGTTTTCCTGTAGAAAAGTGGACAGCTCCTACTGAGATCTCCAAACCAAGCATTATTTCAGGAAACAACCTTATGGGCTCATTAAACTTAACCTTGATAGCAAACAAAAATTACAGTATTCCTCAAGTGTTATCAGCCCCTCCAATGACAGATAGTGAGAGAGAATCTTCGAAATTTTATTGGGATAAACAGAGAAATTTTGTTTACATTGTTGTGCAACATCTACTGCTGTATCATATCCACAGAGATGTAGGGGAAAAGAGTCACTAAAGACAGAACAATGCTCTTCATGTAATTGCTTCCATGTACATGGGAATGAAACAAATGTTAATGAGAATTCTGAGTTGGATCTGACATCAGTAACTGAAGAGAGTAAAAGATTTGAGAAAAGCATAATGAAGAAACTATCTCCCAATGATAATTCTCTGTTCTTAAGAGATAATATAAAGGGTTCTTCAGAAAAATGCATTGCAAAGAAAGACATTCAGGACAGAAAAATGTGGAAAGTTAAACAAGCAGAAAAAACAAAAGATTCAGTTTATAAAAAAAGCATTACTGGAGAATCAACTACTGAGACTGAGTACAAAAATCAAAAGAATAAGATCTTCGAAGAGGAATCCTCCCACTTAAATGAGAAAACAATTAAAAGTAACTTTACTGATTATCATTTAAGCATTCAGAATACTACTACTGAGACAGTCTCTTTGAATCACACAGTTTCTAATCAGTTTAACAAAAGAGAAGAGAGGGAAGTTAAAGTCGGTGATGGCTCTCAGTCTAACTCAACATTACATTCAGAAATAGCCTGTATTTCCAAACCAGTCATTCTAGGAATTACTTGTATGCCTATTTTGAATGCTCACTCCGAATCTTCTGAAGTCACTCCTCTTCAAAAGAAACCTACATCACATATAAATGAATTCAAAGAACATTGCTCAGCTCATCGTATGACTCTTATAGCTAAGCTATCTCAAATTTTGCAGAGGTCTGATGAAGCTGCTTCTTTGCAGATTCTACAGGAAGAAACTAAAGTTTGTCAAAATATTCTCCCTTTATTTGTTGAAGCTTTTGAAAGAAAACAAGAATGTTCACTTGAACAAATCCTGATTTCAAGAGAACTGTTGGTAGAACAAAACTTGTGGAATAATTGCAAACACAAGTTAAACCGTGTGCTGTGGACACTTTAGTAGAACTTCAAATGATGATGGAGACTATTCAATTCATTGAAAACAAAAAAAGCCTCTTAGGAGGTGAACCAACATTCCGAAGCTTGCTTTGGTATGATGAGACATTGTACAGTGAGCTGCTTGGCAGACCACGAGGATGTCAACAGCAGTCCAGTTTCTATCCTGCTTTTCAAGGAAGGTTAAAATATAATGCATTCTGTGAGTTGCAGAATTATCGTGATCAATTAATTGAATTGTTTGAAGACACAAAAAGGGAAAATAATTCATACTATGCATTCTTAAAATACAAACGACAGATTAATGAATGTGAAGCCGTAATGAACTTCTTTGCAGATTCTACAGGAAGAAACTAAAGTTTGTCAAAATATTCTCCCTTTATTTGTTGAAGCTTTTGAAAGAAAACAAGAATGTTCACTTGAACAAATCCTGATTTCAAGAGAACTGTTGGTAGAACAAAACTTGTGGAATAATTGCAAACACAAGTTAAAACCGTGTGCTGTGGACACTTTAGTAGAACTTCAAATGATGATGGAGAATATTCAATTCATTGAAAACAGAAAAAGCCTCTTAGGAGGTGAACCAACATTCCGAAGCTTGCTTTGGTATGATGAGACATTGTATAGAGAGCTGCTTGGCAGACCACGAGGATGTCAACAGCAGTCTAGTTTCTATCCTGCTTTTCAAAGAAGTTTAAAATATAATGCATTCTGTGAGTTGCAGAATTATCGTGATCAATTAATTGAATTGTTTGAAGACACAAAAAGGGAAAATAATTCATACTGTGCATTCTTAAAATACAAACGACAGATTAATGAATGTGAAGCCATAATGAAACATTATTCTGATTGCTTTGACTTTTCTCTTTCTGTTCCATTTACATGTGGTGTTAACTTTGGAGATAGTGTAGGAGACCTAGAAACCTTAAGAAAAAGTACTTTAAAGCTTATCAGTGTATATAGGGAGTTTCCTAAAACTTATTCGTATCCAGGAAAACAAGACCATCTGTGGGTTATCATAGAAAATATCTCCTCAAATGTTAATTTTATCAAGAGCAACGAGGCAGTGAGTATTAAAATATCTCTGTATGGTCTGGAACATATCTTTTTTGATGCTTCAAAAACTCTTGCTTGGAAAGAGAGAAGACAATCTTTCAGCAAAGAATACTCAAGGAAAAAGAAGAATGAAGTGCTACTCAAAATGAATCAATGTGCTTTTTCTCAGTTGCAGAAGATATATGATTCTCTGGCTAAAGATCTGAATGATGAACCAATTTCCAGTACTGGGCTTGAGGAAGATGCTCTGATTGCTTCCAGAAAGTCAGATGGTCTAATAAACAAAGCAACGATTAGCATAGAAAACTGTACGTTTAGCGGTACTTTGCTTTCATACCCAGATATTTGTTTTATTAGCGAAATATTAGATCAAGCTGAACTTGCAGACATTAAGAAACTACAAGAGCTCACTTTGAGATGTACAGATCACTTAGAAATTTTAAAAAAACACTTTCAGGTGCGAAGCTGAACTTGCAGACATTAAGAAACTACAAGAGCTCACTTTGAGATGTACAGATCACTTAGAAATTTTAAAAAAACGCTTTCAGGTGCTGCAAGAAGATAACATAGATAATGGTTTTATAACAGAAGAAAATGCTTTGGATATGGTGAAAAACCACAAGCAAGGGGCTATAATGTTAAAATCTGCAGCCATTGAAACGTACATTGAAATTGTCATGGTTTCAGAAACAGTTCACTTTCTTAAAAATGTAATGGCAAAGAAACTAGACAAACAGAGGTTTCGAGGCATGCTTTGGTTTGATTTGTCACTTCTTCCTGAGCTAATTCACTGCCAAGAAAAAATGGCTGCTTTTTCATTTCTTAAAGATAACTCAACAGATTGCACTTGGAAAGAGATAGAGACTGCTATTGCTGAACTTAAGGAAGATCTCGCTGTTATCTACAAGTATAGTGAAGCTGTTAATTGCTCATATGCTCTTCACTTGTTCTCAAGAGAACTTGAAGAACTTTCAGAAATAAAAAAACTTCTAAAGAAGTCTCAGTATTCCTTTTCCACATATATTGACTTTGTGCCATTTATAGCATCCATAAATTACGGAAGCACTGAGACAGAGTTAGAATACAACTATTGTCAGTTTTCTACGCTGCTCGAAAATGTAATGGCTGCCCCTCACAAAGATTTAGGAAAAGTGGCCCATATTCTGAAAGTCATGAAAACAATCGAACTTATGAAGATAATATGTGCTAAAAATTCTACGTTAACCATTTCCTTTATCTCATGTCAAATGCAATGCAACAGAAGGAAGACTTTACAACTGAAGAGAAAAGAAAAGATGAATATTCATGTTATAAAACATGTAGAAAATATCAATAAATTCATTACTTCTGTCAAGGCGCCCTCAGTTTCAGAGTGCATAATGAAAAATGATTCAAATTCCTCTAACAAACGACCTATCACTGTAGACAAATGTGAAAACTATCAGGAACAAGAGAAAAATACTACTTCCACATGTAAAAAGCCAAAGGAATGACTGTTTTAAAATGAAATCAGTGTTAAGTATTTTTTTTAGAACAAATCTACTTTTTAAGCAAACAAGTAGTTCGCAAAATTATAAAAGTAGAGAATGCTTTAAATAATGCCTTGCAAAATGAATTTACTATCTACATTATTGGATATTTTTTAAATATAAAAATTATTGTATGTAGAAAACATTTCTTGGAAGCACATGAATTTTAATAGCTTCTTAAGGGAACTCCAATATTACGAAAATTATGAATGTGAGTTAAATGAGTGACCAAGTGCTTACTAAGTAGCATCTGTATAACATGTCCAATGTTGTTAAAATTAAAAACTGGCTAGTGAAGCCTGTCTATTTGACTATTACAATCTAGATGGGAAATAGGATATTTTTAAATAGATGATTATCAAGGAGTTAGAAGAATTCCTATTTAAGCACATTTTAATACACGTTATTTAGCATTTATTGTGTTCTTGGCACTGTTCTAAGAATTGTATAAATATTAAGTCATTTATTCTTCACACAAACCTTATGATGTATGCACTATTATGATCTTATTTAAAAGTGAGGAACTGAGGCATAGAAAGATGAAATAACTTTCCCAAGATCACAGAGTTATTAAATAGGTGAGGCCAGATCTAAAACCAGGCAGTCTAGCCCCAGAGCCCATACTAACGGTTGCCCTTGCTCTACACGCAGAGGCTTCTCTCACCACCTTTCAAGAATTTCTAGTTCAGAAGTACAGAAACAGAACCCTATATGCAAAATGGAAAGTAGGATTTTTTTCCTCTGCTTGCTCTGATTGTATTTGTTAAGCTAGTTCTAAAGACTATGAATCTAATCACCGTCAATCACACTACATTTATAAGAAAACACCTAATAAACAACTGGCATATAGACATACTTCAAAAACACAAGAAAACGGGGTGCACTCCCCATCAAGAGTAATATGAGGGTGGTTCTCAAAAAAGTGTAGGTATTGAGAAGAAAAGCAAAAAAAGAAAGCTTGGATTGTTAGAGAAGTTTTATTTATTTTATGGAAGAACACAGACCAAAGCTTTCCCTTAAGGAAAAAAATGTTACCAAATGAAAGTAAAAATGAAGAGGGTATTTAATTTATGGGAAATAATGTGAGCAAAGACACACGACACAATGCTTATTGACATCATTTGAGAAATGAGTTTAGAATTGGAACAATTTTAGTGGGCAAGAGTATGCTAAGGATGGAGAAGAAGGAAGTTTCAAATTAGTCTTAAGTATAGGCCTAAGGAGTTTGAACTTCATTCTGTATAGTTGAAGTCTAATGTCATGTGAAATGTGTTTTCTCAGTAGTTTAAAGGGTAGGGAGA